ATCGATGTAAGTGCAGTGGATGATCGAGTTACCAATCTCACACCAGATGACGAGGGCGTCCCTATGTGATTCAGTACCCGGAGGTAGATCCTTGTCGGTGAAGGTGATCGCCTCCATCCGCTGCTTCTTTGGTTGGGGGGGAACGTGGGATACCTCTCCAATGTAGAGGGATTGGGCCCATTTCTTCCTCTGGGTGACGGAGTCCCCCTAGTGTTTCCACCTACGATGAGGTGAATGTGATTCTTCTTTGGTGGAGGCTCCTCAAAGTCCTCCTCATCATCGCTGAGCCTACCGATCTCCCGTTTCTTCGTGGAGGGTTCGCCCCAAGATTTGTTAGTGTTTACCCACATATTTTTGCGCAGGCCACCTTTAACAAATTGGGAGAGTTCCCCCTGCCGAATCAGGCGCTCGATGGCTTTCATCAGCGTGATGCAGTCGTCGGTGTTGTGGGAGGTGTTCTTGTGGAAACGGCAGTAGGTGCCGCCTTGTTGAATGGCATGAACTTCCTCCGTTGTTCGAGGAGCTTGTTCAATGAGGTTGTGCTTCTCGGCGTAGTCGAGGATGGTGCTGACTGAGTGCGTGAGGGGGATCCCCGGCCGTTCCAGCCTCGGCCGCCAATGGCAGTCTTTGTTGCTTTGTCCACCAGAGCGGTGATGGCCCTGGGCACCCTGGCCGGCCGGGGATGTTCCTGAGGCCGGTGAAGGATTTGTCTTCTTGGAGGGGTGGCCTCCGTCCTTCTTGTGGTTGTGGAGCTCGTCGGCGTCAGCGTACAAACTCCCGCGCTGAAGTGCCTTCGTATATGACCTTGGAGGGTCAGTGATGAGGCTCCTTGCATATGGGGTGCTGTGGAGAGCTCCCTGGTAGAGGACGAGGAGGGTGCGCTCGTCGGCCCCCTCTACCTCCTCGGTCTCCTTTGTCCACCGATCTATGAACGATCGGAGAGACTCATCGTGTTGCTGCTTGACGGAGAGTAGGTGGGTGAAATACTTCTTCACACGCTTCCTCCCGGCAAAGTGAGTGAGGAAGCGTTAGGCAAGATCCTGCCATGAGTCTATGCTTCCTTCGGGGAGCGCGTTGAACCACTCGTACGCTGGCCCCTCAAGGGTGGAGAGGAACCAGCGGCAGAGATATTCATCTGACGCGTTCACTATCAGCATGTTATTTTGGTAGCGGCTGAAGTGCTCCTGGGGGTCTGAGCGGCCGTCATAGGGCTTGATGGCATTTCCCCGGTACTTCTCGGGGATAGGGGCCGAGAGTACCCTGGTGGTGAAGGGGGTCCTCGTCCTGACCTGGATGATGGGGTCCCCTCGTCCTTCGGCCAACTCCCTCTCAAGGATAGTGACCTTGTTCAGAAGGGCGTTGAAGCCGGGATCTCTGGATGAGTTGCCGCTGGGCATGGCGGCCAACTGTTTCGCCTCCATCTGGGCGAGCTTTCGCTCGAGTTGGGCGATCACCTCGTCCCTGGGGTCCCTGGCGGCCGTAGTGGCGCCCTGTGTTTGCAAGCGGGCTGCATGAGCCGTGTTGATTTGATGGCGGCCATCATCCTCATGCAACTTCCCCTTGCCTTTGTCCAGGCGGGGCCGATCCGCTGTCCGGGATACCGACCCCAAACTTTCTCTGGGTGAGCCAGGCTCACGCCGCCCAATCCGCCCCTCCATCCTCTCCGAAGTAGGCCGACGACACGTGACACCTAGCCTGTTAAAGGCTGAGGCTTTTCCACGCGCTGGGGCCGGTCCAGCTCGAAGTGGGGGAAGCAGGGTGGGAGTGGGACGACGAAGTGTCCTGGGCCACCACGCCTTCGTCGTTGCCTAGTTTGACGGCCAACGGCTGGGGCTGCGGAGGCGGTGTGGTGTTCTCCCCAGTCCTTGGCATGAGCGCGCTGAGGACGGTGGGGTTCTGGGCCAAGCTGGCGATGATGGTCGAGAGCGCGGCCTGAAGCTGAGGGTCAACGGCAGGAGAGGCCGGTTGCGCCGAGGCATTGTCGCCTTTCTCCGCGCGCTTCTTGTCAAAGCCGATGCGGGCATCAGGGCCGCCGCCGTTGAGCTTGTTGTGCAGGTCTCCTGTGAGGTCGATGGCTTCCTGGAAGACATCCCCCCTCGACAGCCTTGTTGGCCGTGGCGTCCTCCTCGCGTTCCCTGTTCTCCTGGTCCTCAGGGATGGCTTTGCTGACGAGGTTGCGATTTGACTTGGTTCTTCCCATGATCAGTGGTTAGCCGTGCTTGTTAGCGACGAAGGATGCTAACTTGATTGTTCTGCCTCTCAACGAGAGCACCACATGATAGATTATATCCTAGAGAGAGGTGAGAGCTAGAGAGAGAAGTGCAAGTAAATGCTTCAATAAATGATTTTACAACCCCTACAACTACCTCCAGAGGAAGTATTTATAGGAAAAATAAGGTTGGGCTCCCAAGCCTTGGGCTTGGGAGGCCCATTTACAAGTGGACCGCTATTGGGCCGAATACAAAGTAAATGATGGAGTATACAAAATGAGTAAGTGTAAAATCCGGTTCTGGGAGTCCTTTATGGCCGACGAGGGTCTGGCCGATGAGTGCATGGCCGACGAAGACCCGACCGACGAGGTCACCCGGTTCTTCTGGCTTCCGGATCATGTTCTGGGTTGACTTCGTTCCGGCCGATGAGGGTCACCTGGCCGATGAGGGTCCCACTGGGTGACAGCTGTGCCTTCTGTTCTCCTGAGTATGTGGGTCCTGGGGCCTAGACCCATATACTCCATCAGCATGCATGACCACAACTAAACTTGGAAAATAATAGACAAATGGACAATACATATACATTAAGTAGTCAATAAATGAACAATAAATTTTTATGATGGTATAATAGCAGAGCAGGCAACACAAACCACAATAGACGCAGTTCACAATATTCATTGATCAAATAACCTCAACAGACCATCGAGAAACTCCACGATTAATATATGTAGGTCATTGCTAATCCAAAGGCCAATTGAATTGGCAGAACATTAGATGTCACGACTCTAGGTCCATGACTATTTATGGTGCCCTGGAATGCTTCTATTTGTATTCCAAAAATCAGAGTATCAGTAGAGCCGTAGTTATCGATTCACCTATAGTAGAATTTGTAGCCGAGGTCCGCCAGAAGGTAGCAAATTGATGTATCCATCCAAAATAGATTCGAGTCGGAGATGTGAAGCGATTGTGATATGATCGTGATGATGCCTTTGGCGACAGAGATGAGTCGAGCCAGAGATGTGAAGCGACTGTGATTTAGAGAGAGATATGAAACTAGAGAGATGAATTTGGGGAAGAAACTTGGAAATTGTTTTAATAAGTGAAGGGTAAAATTGGAAATTTAAAATCAAGTTTCCCAAAATAGAATTAGATAGGTCATACGCAGGGGAGAAACTTAAGTAGATACTTCCTCCGTCTCTTTTTAGTTGCAACAGTCAACATTTCACGTTTGCCAACGCACAACTTTGACCGTCATTATATTTAATTCTGTATTAGTAAAAATAAAATAAAAATCAGATTATAAAAGACGGTTAAAGCAGACCTCCCATCACCCAATTTAAATCAGATTATATTTAATCAACAGAAAAATAAACAATCTTACAACAATCTTAAATAAGACTCTTTTTTGTAACCATAGCTAAAAGAAGGGGAAGCTAAGAGGCAGCAACCCCCTCGAAAGGTTTCATGAACTTAGAAAACTTTTCCTTGAGCTAAGAACCGCACCTTGGTTGGGGAAGATGATGAATAGTAGCAATTTGTACGGACGAGCTTGATGATGAAATAAATTTGAGAAAGTTAATCCCCACAGCTAGGAGAACCTGTATATGTGCTTGGAATTCCGATTGGTGTGGTAGAACTCGAGCTATAGGCGTTGACCTCCGTCGGTGAATAGTGAAAGTGCGAAAACCAGTTTTGAGAAGAGACCAAAAACTCTCCGGAAAGAGCTCAAAAATTAGAAATATTACACCTCAAGGAAGTTATGAAGGTAATATGACTAATATCCAAGCTCGAAACAAGAGAATCAATGGAGGAAGGAGCAAAAACGAAGGAAAATTTCCGTGGGGAAGAGACGAACGTGAGGTTCGCGAGAGCTTCTCTCTCAACTTCCACAGGCGCTTCAGGCTCCGGTTTTCAATGGAGGTCTGCGTTAAATCAGATTATATTTAATCAACAGAAAAATAAACAATCTGATCATGAAAAAGAAATCGCATGCAAACAGTAAAATTTAAAAGTTGCTTCCAAACCCTAGACTCTCCTGCACTCCATGGATGCGGTTCAGCCGTTCAGGAAGGGGCGATCCAGCAGTACCGTAGCTTCTTCCTCACGTTGTCTCTTGTTCATCATGTCCTCTACCAAGCCTCCTAACACAGATGACCTCGAATCCAGATCTGTTGCAGACTCTAGCCTCACGCTTCGTCCATGACCTATGGCCATCGGAGACCAAGCTTCCGTCTTCCGTCCCTGCACAACCATTGACCGCCGAAGATCAAGCATCATCTTCCCTCCGCTTAATCTCCCCCCAAAAAAAGAAGAAAAATAATCGCGCAATTGATGACGGAAGAAAAAACCATGTACGCCTAAGTCCGTTTGCGGCGGCCGCTCCTTGTTACAAACGATGAAGTAGGGAAAACCCTAGCGGTGGAAACCCACCCTAGAGAGATTAACCGCTCCAGAGTTGGAACGGAGAGACATCCGAAGTCCTTTTTACCTCCGTCCCTTTTTATTTAGTCATTTTGATTTTTCCGGTCCAAGATATATATGAAACTTAATAAATTTATACTTACATGATAATATTTTTAAAACGGAACATTTTCATATAATCTTGGTATTATGAATATTACCATTTATAAATCCATAGAAATCAGTGAACCGCCACTCTAGCTCCCCATTCATCAATCTTCACTAAACAATCGAGATAGTTGTTCAAGGGAGAAATCACCTCGAGGTGAATATTACCACGCTGCAAAGGCCGCCACTCCGCACCAAACTATCCACCATAAAGCTATGTTCAAACACCATCACCTCTCTTGGTATCCATTAAGAAGATAGTAGCTGGCTTCTTTTCTTTGACGACAAGCTAAATTCTCTGGCATGACCCGCGAAGGCGATGGGCCATCAGACGTCAACGGCGAGCGGCGACGTTAGTGTTCCTGTTCGTCCAACCATTTGTTTTGATTTATTGTTTATCAAAAAATTGTTTAATTTTTGCTAGATTATTCAAAGTCTGGTTTTATCGTAAGCCTTTTGAAAAATGACGAGTTAGATTAATAATTTTATTGGTTTCTTCCTTTCAAAAATACTACGGAGTACGTATTAAATTAGGTGATGAGAGCATGCGTAGTGGGCAAATGGATTCCTTAAAAATGCACTGCCACATCATATAATTAGAATTTGAGATAAATGTATTCTCTCCAACAGGAACGTGGGTATGCCTTGTGTCGTTGAGCTCGAGCCGGAAAAAACCCACATCGTCTATTCCTCTTTGGATTTTCAGCAAGCCTCTCTGACATTGTGACTCAGCAAAATATTAATTTCCTGCTAAATTTAAGCCGGAATGCCGGCAAGTGAATTTATTTTCGTCAAACTCCTCTTTCTTCTTTCATCTGTGTGACTTCCACTTCATGCTCTGTATATACATAACTTTTCAAGCCCTTTTGAAGCTTTGTTCACTACCTAGATCTTGTAAATCTCGGTTCATTAGTCAATTTCACATTTCTGATTAGCGTATATCAGACCAAATACTTTTATTTTCTTTATTTTGGTATTATTAATTTGATGCAGTGAGACTGATATTATTTTGATATGCCTACCTCTTAGAAACGTGTTCATATTGCTTACTCATAAAAAAAACTTCTGAAGCCAAATGTAACCTCCAAGAGACGAGACTGTTTTCAAGTTATGCCTTTGAAGATGAAGAACTAGCAGAAGAGTTATATTTTTTTGGTAGAAGAGAGTTATATACTTTGGAGATAAACCTGCGGCAATTATATATAAACTTGCTGCAGTTTTTTGATGATAAGAAGAGTTTCCCCCCGGAATAATGCTAATTAAATAAATAATTCCCAGAAAAGCCGCCATTTCGAGTGGCGACTCATTAATTCGCAGAAAACATCCCCTTCTTCCCAGCCGACGAACACAGAGAGAAAACACCCCCTTCCCTCTGCACGAACGATCAACGACGAACAGCGAGCGATTCGAATTCCGGCCGGAACGCCTCCAAACGAAGCTCAAATCAAACGCAAAAGAGACACGGTGTACCCGAGGTCATTTGTGCTCCATTCTACCGCCTTTTAAACGTTTGAATCGAGGTATTTCACCGCTTTTGCTAAACCTTGGGTTTTTAATTTAATGTTCGAAATTACTGTTTTTTTTTAATTTTTTTTCTTTGTATTTGATGTTATGAAATATATAAGTTCTTAATGTTGTTATTATGATTGAATTTATATAATTTGTATAATTTGAATTATTTTTTGTGTTGGTTGGATTGATTTTGAATCAAAGGGAAAAGAGACACGGTGTACCCGAGGTCAATTGTGCTCCATTCTACCGACTTTCAACCGTTTCAATCGAGGTAATTCATCTATTTTGCTAAACCTAGGATTTTTTAAAGCTTTGTTCGAAAATCGCTCTTTTTTATGAAGATCAAATTTTATCATATATTTTCCATTACTTTTGATACTTTTCTACACTACTATACTCTTATTTTTGTGAAAACCCTATACCGATAGTTGAATAAAAGATCATGGAAGGAGTGTTAATTTGATATTAATTACGTTTGAACTCGATATGAAAGACTTAAACTTTAAAAACATTTGGCCCTAGTGATCAAGCTAGCTAGTGTTAATCAATAAATCCTTTTTGGGTTGAACATACATGCCTTTAGAATTTAGGTATCATATTTGAAACCTACACATAATTTGTTTTTTTTGGATTATTTTTTTTGTATTTGATGTTATGAGATATCTAAGTTGGTAATTTAGTTATTATGCTTGATTTTGTATAATTTGTAGAATTTAAATTTTTTATTGTGTTGGTTGGTTGAGTTTGATATGCGGGGATAGTTTGGAAAAGAGTAATGTAGCACATCATTAATATGTATCGATCAGATTTAGTAATTGAATGAAATCTTGAAAATGATACACATGATTTAATACAAATTGTTTGAATTAGTAGTTGAATTTTCAATGTGCAACATAAATCATTTTTTTTGGAATGATTTTTGATAAAAGGGGGGAGTCGGAAGATAATTGTTGTTTCCTGTGGGGTGGATGTGGCTGAGTTAATGAATAAAGTTTATACCGCTACATCCATCAATCGTATGAACAACTTGGATTTGAAAGTTAAGTATCCCGTTCATGGAGGGTTATACATGTTGATGCCTCTTGCTGACGACGAAGCCGTTACGAGGATGTGGACCTTGATCACGAATCTTGCTATGCATACCATGGAAATATATGTTGAAGAAGTGACTGTGTTGCCCATACAACCTGACAACCTGTCATTATCTTACCCATCCACAAGTGTTCCAGTTGTGATGAATATGGTTGCACGGGAGAATGGAAGATACATGAACAGTGATTCAACATTTCTGGATTCACAACACATCGACGACGATGCAGATGAAAATGTGAATCATGACACACTAACAGATTCAAATGAAGATGGTGGTGATCTCGTAAGTGGCAATGCTCCATCCAGCCACTACACCAAAGTTTATGAGCTCCCTACGGGATTTGATGAATCATGGAGGGGTTGTACAACTTCCAGTCGCTTCTCTAGAGATGGTGAATTCGAGGTTGGGCTAGAGTTTGTTGATAGATAATGTTGGTCCCGTTAGTAATGGGAACAGTCTAGAGGGGGGGGGGGGGGGGGGGGTGAATAGACTGTTCAGGAATTTAAACTTTTCTCTAAGTCAAGTCTGACTTATCAGAGACTGTCGAAATCTGGTGACAGAGATGGTCAAGTTCTGATGGCAGAACTAGACCAGGCAGCGGATAAGTTTCTGTCCGGGTAGCCTCTAGAAGAAAGCTAAGGCAAAATGCCTTTCTGATAACTCTGAAGGGAGATCTGCTGGACACAGATTCCAACCTAAAGAGTTAGTCAGTAGAATCTTAAGTGCAGAAAGTAAAAGCTGAAAGTAAATGACACCGGGTTTTTTATAGTGGTTCAAGGAACAACTCGTTCCTCTAGTCCACTGTTCCACTAAGCTTGCAAAAACGACAGTTTACAACGCCTTAGTCCCTAGAACTTAAGAAGCACTCCTCGTCTTCTTCAAGTCTAGTTGCCACCCGGGATGCGGTCCTGCTTCCTGATGGCTGGTCTCGTTTCACTGAGTCTCTTGAAGTATCTCCACTTCACTTACTCCAGCTAATTTGAGACGTCCCTTCTTTTTCAAGAAGTGTTTGATAAAAAATCAGTTTTCTCCAACGTTGCTTCTTCACAAAAGATGAGTATATGAAGCTCTCGAAGTGTTGAAGAACTGAGTAACTTTGCCTTTGCTAGTTGGATGAAGGATAGGAATGTTTATCTTCCAACTGTGGCCTTTTCTTGTTAGAATGGAGTTTTGATCTCAAGAAAGTTGTTCACGCAAATTTATCTTGGCAAAAGTTATGGCAAAGTTCTCTTCTTAGTTCTTCAGAGTGTATCTTATATACTGGGAGTGGTCTTCCCGTTGGAGTGTAGAAGACAGCTTCATTAAATGCATGTACTGTTGACTTGACCGTTTGGTCCTCCGACTTGCTATTTTGGGGGCGTAAAGATATTCGCATGGTCAATCATCAGCTTTAAATATCTCTTCGTACGTACAGCATTAAATGTGCATTTAATGCGTGTACAGTGCCATGCTTCCGTTGAAAGGTTCGTAACCGTTAGGGGATTTCCCGTTAGTTTAACGACCGTTGGAAGGGCTTCCGGATTCTGATGATACTTAGCAGAGTCTGAAGAGGTTCTCTGGTCCAGTCTCTGAAGTCCGTCTCTGGTGCCAACTCTGGTCTATTCCTGATAACCAGTTTCTGATGGCTTCTCCGGTGAGCAACTCTGGGAGCAACTCTGGTAGAGGCAAGATGGAACTCTGGCAGACAGACTAAGCTAAACTTACAAAAGAAATTCTAATACACAATTTCTAATGGGGTACTTTCAAATTCTAATTAACCTAGCATCATCAAAATCTAAATACATTTATTCCTTACAATTTCCCCCTTTTTGATGATGCCAAAACCCTTTAACTATTTCCAGAGAAGTGCCTTTCACCATAAAATATAAAGTTAAAAACTTTTCATTAGAATCTTGGTGGGCAACTTAGCATAGGAGAATAGTAAGAGTGCGATACATTCAGATAGCAATAATCAAGAATGATAACGGAATATACACAAGCAAGAAAATAAGAACAGATAATTGAAAAGAGCCAATCAAACAGAGAGGCAGAGATGGTATCTTATTAAACTGTTAGAGAAAGTAAAGCATTACAGAGTTAGATAAAGAGAGTTAGAGATCTTCTTCATCTACCTGTGGTCCAGCTCTGTCAATCCTTTCAAGTTCAGCATTTACCTTCGCTCTGATTGAGGCTAAATCCCTAGGATTCTGATAGTCAGCCCAATGAGGTGCAAGTTTGCAATCCAAATAGTTTCTGACAGCTTCAGCAGAATTCTTGCCATTCAGAATCTTCATTCCGTACCACATCTCAACTTCTTCTATCGAACCACCATGGTTGATCTGGACAAGTCCATCATTGTCCATGAACAGATTCTCTCTTTGAAGAGGGGTCATCAATTTTCTCATTTGTTCAAACTGAACTCTGTCTGGCCTTGACAGACCACTCTTCATCCAATCAGTGAATGAAAAGGATGAAGGCTTTTTCTTGGAGCTTCTGGGAGGAGGAGGAGGAGGTCTGGTGCCTGTAGCAGCTAGCCTTTTCTTTCTAGATGCATCAAAATAAGGAGTAGGATCAACAGAGGAGGGTTCTCTGATAGAAAGAGCTCTGGTGCTGGTGCCTTCTCCTTCTCTGGTATCTTCCCCCTTTTTGGCATCACAAAGATCACCAAGGAGAAGTTCAATCTTGGAGAACTCAGAGGCTTGAGCATCTCTGATTTCATCATGGGTTTCTGGCAGCGTCTGAGTGACAGAGGCAAGACCTTCAATCAGGCTTTGTTGCTTGTCAACTGCAGATTGGAGATCTCTGGTGCTGACCTCTAGAAGCACCATCTTCTGGTACCTTTCTCTGTCAGATTTCAGAAGAGCTAGGCCTTGCTCTTGATGTTCCTTGCAGAGAGAATGTAAGATGTTGAGTTTCTGGGAGGAACTATCAGCAGATTTCTGAAGATTGTGAACAGATTCTGAGATCCTGTTGATTGTCTGATTCTGGGCAAGCAGAGCTTGAGAGTGAGAGTGGAGAACAGAGTTGAGTCCACTAACATCTCTGGAGACAGAATCAATCCTCGAGGTAGAGGAATGCATGAAGTTGTGCAGATTCTCTGTGAGAGCAGCAACTTTATCTGACAGGTGTTGAAAACCTATGGTGATTTGCAGATTGGTATGGGTGAGTTCTTCATGTTGTTTGTCATTTAATTCAATAATCTTGCTCAGATCTTGAACCAGTATTCCACCAAAAGCTTCAGCAGACTTCACAAACTGGGTGAAGGGGATTTTGGATTCTTCAGGTGTAAAGTCAGGCGTTCCCAATCCTCTGCCTTTTGGTAATGGAGGAGCTCTGTTGGATGGTGGTGGGGAAGGAACTCTGGGGGGTGTCCTTCTCCTTTTGGAGGTTTCATCAGCAGCAATGGAGGAGGTGAGGAAACCATCATTGTCACTAGATGAGGAGGGAACCCTGAAGACAGGTTTCTTCTTGGGTGTAGATGCTGCAGAATGATGTGAGGATCTCTGAGGTGAGGCAGACTTGGATGTTGGTGAAGGGTTCTGGTGCTGTGGTGGGGAGTGAGTAAGTGAGGCATTCTGTTGAGGAGGGGATGGTGGAGGTGAGGGTGACCGGTTTCTGAAAGGGACAATTGCTCTGCAGGGAGATGCAATTTTTTGTTTGGGTGAAGAAGGTCTTGAGTTGGGTTTCTGGTGAGATGGTGTTCTGGTGGAAGGTGGGGTTTTCTGTTCTGGTGAGGGGGTTTTCTGTTGGGTTGAAGGGGTTTTCTGGTGAAGTGGGGATGAAGGTTTAGATGGAGATTTGGAGGGTGAGGGTAGAGTAATAGGAGATGGAGGAGGGGAAGGAGGAGGTGTAGGAATTACCTCAAGTACAATCTCAGAGTACACAGATTCTCTCCACTCCTTGACCAGCTTCTCCATGGTAATAGCAATGTCATTCGCAGTGGATGACTCTCCTTCTTCAAGAGCACTATGGCGAAATTTGATCAATGATTCTTTCCTCTTCTTCTCCATCAGCCAAGCATCAAATGTTTCCATTTCCTCTTCTTCCAAGGCTCTGACATGCCTTTCTGGAGATAGGTCAGATGTTGGAGCTTTACCTTGATATCTGTCTTTCTTCTTTTGTAGCACAGAAATCTGAAAGGTAAGGTTGAAGCATTTTGACACATCATCTGTGCCTACCCAGTGAAGAACAACAGCTTC